CCACTCCCAAATTACTCAAGCTGATTCAAAACTTTGGCAAAGTAGCAGGTTATAAAATTAACCCCCCAAAATCAATGGCTTTTCTGTATGCCAACAATGAGAAAAGTGTGGCTGAAATTAGGAAAGTAACTCCATTTGTAATAGCCCCACAAAAAATAAAATACCTAGGAATTAACTTAACTAAAGAAGTGAAGGACCTCTATGATGAAAACTTTAAAATCTTGAAAAAGGAAATCAACACAGAACTTAAAAAATGGCAAAACCTCCCATGCTCCTGGATTGGAAAGATTAACATCGTGAAAATGGCAATACTTCCCAAGGCTATCTACAAATTCAACGCAATACCTATCAAAATTCCACTCTCATTCTTCAAGGAAATAGAAGAGGCAATCCAAAAATTCATATGGAACAATAAAAGACCCCGAATAGCAAAAACGCTCCCCAACGGAAAGAACACTGCTGGAGGAATATCAATACCAAATTTCAAACTCTACTATAAAGCCATAGTAATCAAAACAGCTTGGTGTTGGCATAAGAACAGACCTCAGGACCAATGGAATAGAATTGAAAACCCAGAAATGAACCTACAGACCTATAGCCATCTAATCTTCGATAAGGGAGCTAAAACAATAGAATGGAAGACAGACAGCCTCTTCAGTAAATGGTGCTGGCAAAACTGGTTAACTACATGTAGAAAACTAAAGCTAGATCCTTGTATATCACCCTGCACCAGAATCAACTCCAAATGAATCAACGACCTCGGAGTCAAAGCAGACACTCTGAAACCATTACAGGATGGAATAGGAGAAACCCTAGGTCTCCTTGGCACATGCCAAAAATTTTTTAGTAGAGACCCAGAAACACAACAAAACAAAGAAAGGTTGGACAAATGGGATTGCATGAAATTGCAGAGCTTCTGCATGGCAAAGGACACAGCTAGAAAGATCAATAGAAAGCTCAAGGATTGGGAGAAGATCATCACTAGCCACACAACAGACAAGGGTCTCATATCTAAAATATACCTTGAACTCAAAAAATTAAATACCCCAACAACAAATCTTTAAAGACACAACTGCCCAGGAAACAAGTGCACTAAATACTCAAAGAGAAACCTCTCTGAAGAGCAAAGAAGGATGGCCAATAGACACATGAACACATGCTCAACTTCTCTCGCCATAAAAGAAATGCAAATCAAAACAACATTGAGATACCACCTCACTCCAGTTAGAATGGCTAAAATTAAGAACTCTAAAAACAACAGATGCTGGAAGGGATGTGGACAGAAGGGAACCTTACTGCATTGTTGGTGAGAGTGTAAACTTGTTAAACCACTTTGGAAAGCAGTATGGAGGTTCCTCAAAAGACTCCACATAGAGCTCCCCTCTGACCCAGCAATCCCACTGTTGGGCATTTACCCAAATGCTTACAAACAAGACCGTAATAAAGCTACCACCACGACTATGTTTATTGCAGCATTATTTACTATAGCTAAGATATGGAATCAAGCCAGATGCCCCTCAGTAGATGTATGGATCAAAAAATTGTGGTATATATACACAATGTGATTCTATGCCTCCATCAGAAAGAATGACATTGCTCCAATTTTTAGGAAGTGGAAAGGCTTAGAAAAAATTATATTAAGTGAAGTAAGCCAAGCCCAAAGAAACATAGGTCCCATGGTTTCCCTTATTTGCAATACCTAGTATATGTCCGAGTCAAGCAGAAAAGGTCAGATGAGTTGATGTTAGGAAAATGAACCTTAAAATATGTATTCAAATGTTTTTTTCTTTCATGTGATTGTTCCTAACACATTTATAAGATTATTTCTTTGTTTCTTTGTATGTCCCTCCCCCACAGTATAACTCCTTCTTTCACTTTATTTCATATCGGTATAATTTGTGGAGGGGAAGGGGAAAAACAAATCATTTAAATAGGGATACAGTTGGATCCATTGCAACAATGAGATGTACAAGTCCTTATGTCGAAAATGGACTTTACAACCTCCGTGCGGGGGGGGGGGGAGAATTGGGGAGTAGGGGGAGCATAGGAAGGGATGGGAAGGGGAAACAAAGGAGGAGGCTACAATACTTGATAAGAAATGTACTCATTATCTTGCCCATGTAGTTGTAACCCCTCTGTACAGTATTTTCACAATAAACAAAGAAAAGAAAAAAGAAAAGGCAAGAAATAACTTAAAAAAAAAGATTATGGGACCAAAGTCATTGAGCACAAAAAGAAGCTGGATAAATTATGGGAAAAAATGAGTCCTAGAGAAGGCAACTTAGAAACATGTGATTTAGAAACACAGGGCTACTATCTTTACTTCAAAGAGAGATGACAGGTTGCATTCCTTCCTGAGAGATGCATTTCTCATCATATGAAATAGCAGTTGTCTTGTTGTATGTACGCCTTCCTCCAAGATGCTCCCCCAAACTTTAGCAACATCCTACCCCAAATATAGACAACAGCACACCTTCCCTCAAGGATAATCATCTGGAAAGAATGCCCAAAACATACAGAAACTCAGAAAGTTTAACACCAGGAATGATTAGAACAAAAGTGAGACACATATGTTTGCATAACTTTGAAGTGAGAACTCCTACCTTTACCATATGAATACCCCTGGCAGCCCAAGAGCTGTGTGTCTCTCCTCAGTTAGAGTGTGTCTTTGCCTTTCTGCTTCCTGTTTGTCTACCTGCTTGCTTGTTTGCTTCCTTACTCAGGAAAGCTCTGCCACATTTTCTTACTGTTGTGATTGTCTAGAATTTTTTTTTCTGTGATCAAAGTCCAGGATCCCAAGTGAAGAGTTCCTATTTTCAAGGGAAACTTCATTAACCTTCATCTGATTTGGTGACCCTGCAGATTGGTATTCCAGGTGTAATAGAGTTCTGGTGTCCACGGCTGTGACAAAGGCACACAGATCTTGACACTGCTAGGCAGAATCCACTCACAAGGCCATTCCCTGTGGAGGAGGCATATGTTCCCCCTGTGCACCCAGGAGGAGGCATACTTGGACCCACGACTCATTAAAGTTCTTTTGAAGTTTTTAGAACCACAGAGTATTTGTCACCAAAATTGCCTTTGCTTTTCTCTGGTACTGAAGAAAGTGGTTTATCACCTCTCAGCTGATTTCCCTCAAGGCCTGCGCTCCCTCTAGTGGTGCCATTGTGGAAGTCACTACAGACTCAGGAACACTGAAGCCTGCCTGGAATTTCTGGAAAGACAGGCACAAAGCCAGACCACTGGTGTAATTCAGAGACATTTCAAAGGCCAGATGGCACCACATGCCAATATGAATCAAGAATGTTCCAGAACAATGAGTTCTCCTAGCATTCATTGTAATCATTTTGGGGAAATTCTCATAGAATCTCAACTCTCATGGATGTTTGCTGATGTCCTTGTGTACAATTTAACTCTCAGGCTTGACAGCTAGAATGTCAGTTATACTAAATATGAATTGGGAACTGGTGGCTAAGGCCTGTAATTATAACTATTAAGGAGGCTGATATAGGAGAATTATGTTTTGTAGTTACTTTGGCCAGGAATGTCTGTGACAGTCTTATGTGCAAGCAACTCAAGAGAAGCTGGTGCAGAGCTGTGGGTCAAGTGGTAGAGTGCCAGTCATGACAGAAAAAATGCTAAGGGACAGCCATCAGGACTTGGGATGACGCCTGAGTATCAGAGTATGTGTGAACATGCACACACACACACACACACACACACACACACACACATATCCACAGCCCAATTAGTGAATGGACAGAGAAGAGGATAGCTCTGACAGCTCCCACCTCCCATGGGGTACGTTTCTAATGCTAGGTTTACACATGAGCCCCATCTTTCTCACTCAGTTCCTCACCAGGATCAGTTGCTTCAATATCCCTCACATATCTCTTATTTAATAAAGTATTCCTCTCCTAAACCTTCCTCAAACAGGATGTTCCCACACAACTTGTCTGAGAAGATTCATCCATGACTTCTCTAGTTTACAGAGAATTATGTAGATCTGAAAGTAGTGAGCTCATCTGGGTCAAATGCATGAATGAAAGTGTGTATAAAATATGAAAAAGTCAGGCATCTTTGCTCACGCCTGTCATACTAGTTTCTCAGGAGGCTGAGATCTGAGGATCAGTGTCCAAAGCCATCAAAGGCATTAGAGTTCATGAGACTCTTATCTCTAATAAACCACCTAAAAATAGGAAGTGGCACAAGCACTGGAGGGCTTGTCTTAAGCTGAATAGCACAGGGGCAGCATCGAAGCCCAGAGTTGAAGCCCCATTACTGACAATAGATATGAAAAAAACATTCAAATGTAGTTTAGGAAGTTATGAGCAGGGAAAAATAAATAAACCTGGAAAGATGTTGGAGGACAAGGAATGGAAGCAGAGCTTCTGGGAATGACATGGGACACAGGCCAAGACATGGACATCAGGGCACATGTTTACTTACATTAATTAAAGGGAAAAAATCAAACATGTCTTGAATCTCTTATTACTGATCTGACCAGCAGCTCCCCATTCCCAGAACTTTGCTGACACAAAATAATTCCAGAAGCAGAAATTGCATGTCCACCCTAACAAAAGTTGCTATGAAGGAGGTCCAAACATTGGTCCTGTTTTGAAAAGTGTAAAGTACAGAATTGATTGAAGAGTCCTTGGACTTTGCACTATGGATGGGGACATTGCTCATTAGTGTCCGTATGGACTCTTAGTCACCCCAGTGACCTTGAGTAACAGTGATGAGTGGAGGAGACACAGTGATGGTGGGGTGGTCAGACATCTCTGGAAAGGGGAGTGGAATGGAAGACAGACAGAAAACTCTTTACCTTTGGATGAAAGAATAATATTCATCAGGAAAATCTGAAATGAAGTAGAGCTGTTGTAGTGAGGGAAATGTAGAAGATGCAGAGGACATCAGTGATTGTGTCCAAACTTCCCCCACCTCTGACTGTAACCCAAAGAGAAAATTCACAATTTAAGGAAAGCCAAGAAATCACTTACTGAATGTTCTGTTGCTGCAGGGTAGGGTCATTCAAGCTTTGAATGAACAATTCCCAAGAATAGAGGGGGTAAAATCCAACAATGACCACATCTTCCCTGCTGCATACCACAGATTTCTCTGTGCAAATCCATCTGCTGTCTTCAGAGGAACTGATCAGGTGTGGATGCTGGAGAAGCAGTGTTAGAGTCACAGGGAACATTGCTGCTGCTTTGGCCTGGAGCTGTGATTCTGGATGCAGACTCTGATTTCTGTGTCAGGCAGGTGTCTAAATAGATCTTCAGTTTTTTGTGGCTTCTTATTACCTGGATGGCCTCCTCTGTCCTAGAGAAATACAGAGCCCATTCTGCCCTCTGGCTCTGCATCTTTGGGCCTGCCTTACTTCACTTAATATAATTTTTTCAAGTCTTTCCATTTCCTAACAAAGGGGGCCATGCCATTCTTTCTGTTGGAGGAATAGAATTCCATTGTGTATGTATACCACAGTTTCTTGATCCTTTCATCTACGGAGGGGCATCTGGGCTAGCTCCATATCTTAGCTATGGTAAAAATACTGCAATAATCATTGTTGTGTTGGGAGCTTTAGTATGGACTTGTTTGTGATCAGTTGGGTAAATGCCCAAAACTGGGATTGCTGAGTCATAGAGGAGCTCTATATGGAGTCTTATGAGGAACCTCCATACTACTTTCTAAAGTGCTTGAACAAGTTTACACTCCCACCAACAATGCAGTAAACTGCCCTTCTGTCCACATCCCCTCCAGCATCTGTTGTTATTAGAGTTCTTGATTATAGCCATTCTAACTGGGGTGAGGTGGTTTCTCAATGTTGTTTTGATTTGCATTTCTTTTATGGCTAGGGAGGCTGAACATGTATTCATGTGTCTATTGGCCATCCTTCTTTCCTCTTCAGAGAAGTTTCTCTGTAAGTCTTTAGACCAGTTGTTTATTAAGCAGTTGTTTCTTTGAGGGTTTGTTGGGGGATTTAATCTTTTGAGTTCCAAGTACATTTTAGATATGAGACCCTTGTCCGATGTGTGGCTGGTTATTATCTTCTCCCAATCCTTGGGCTTTCTATTGATCTTTCTAGCTATGTCCTTTGCCATACAGAAGCTCTGCAATTTCATGCAATCCCATTTGTCCAACCTTTCTTTGATTTGTTGTGTTTCTCTGTCTCTATTAAAAAAATTTTGGCCTGTACCAAGGAGACCTAGGGTTTCTCCTATTCCATCCTTTAATGTTTTCAGAATGTCTGCTTTGACTCCAAGATCTTTGATCCATTTGGAGTTGATTCTGGTGCAGGGTGATATATAAGCATCTAGCTTTAGTTTTCTACAAGAATTTTGCCAGCACCATTTACTGAAGAGGCTGTCTTTCCTCCACTCTATTTTTTTAGCTCCCTTATCAAAGATTTGATGGCTATACGCCTGTAGGTTCATTTCTGGGTTTTCATTTCTATTCCATTGGTCTTGAGGTCTGTTATTGTGCCAGTACCAAGCTGTTTTGATTACTATGGCTTTATAGTAGAGTTTGAAATTTGGTATTGATATTCCTCCAGCACTGTTCTTTCTGTTGAGGATTGTTTTTTGCTATTTGGGGTCTTTTATTGTTCCATATGAATGTTTGGATTGCCTCTTCTATTTCCTTGAAGAATGAGGTTGGAATATTTATAGGTATCGCATTGAATTTCTAGATAGCCTTAGGAGGTACTGCCATTTTCACTATGTTGATCCTTCCAATCCAGGAGCATGAGAGTATTTGTCACTTTCTAAGTTCTGTTTTGATTTCCGTTTTCAGGTTTTTCAAATTTTTCATTATAAAGGTCCTTCACTTCTTTGGTTAAGTTAATTTCTAGGTATTTTATTTTTTGTGTGGCTATTTAATTAATGGAGTAGCTTTCCTGATTTCAGCTACGCTTTTCTCATTGTTGGAATACAGAGAAGCCATTGCTTTTTTGAGGGCTAATTTTATACCCTTCTACTTTGCCAAAGTTTTGAATCAGCTTGAGTAATTTGGGAGTGGAGTCCGGGGTTCTTTAAATACAAAATCATGTCATCTGCAAAGAAGGTGAGTTTTACTTCATCTTTCCCTATTTGGATTCCTTTTATGTTTGCATCTTGTCTTATTGCTCTACCTAGGCATTCTAATACTAAATTTAAGAGAAGTGGAGAGAGTAGCCGTCCTTTTCTCACTCCTGATCTAAGAGGAAATGGCTTTAGTTCTCCACCATTAACTATAATGCTGGCTGTAGGTTTGTCATATACAGACTTTACTGTATTGTGGAAAACTGTTCCCTGGATTCCTAATTTTTCAGAATCGTCATCATAAAGGAGTGTTGGATCTTCTCAAATGCCTTTTCTGCACCTATTGAGATAACCATGTGGTTCTTATCCTTGGTCTTGTTGATGTGATGAATTATATTAACCAGCTTTGTATCACTGAATGAATCCTGTATGATCGTGCTGTATGATTTTTTGGATGAATTGTTGAAGTCTATTGGTCAAATTTTTTTGAATGTGTTCGGTAGTCAACTTTCTCTTTAAATTTCATTGAAGAGTTGGAGTCGTATTGGTGTGAACTCTGCTTTGAAGGCCTTGTAGAATTCCTCTCTAAATCCATCTGGTCCTTTTCTTTTCTTAGATAGGAGGTCTCTTATTGCTGTTTCTATTTCAATGCTTGATATGGGCCTGATAAGATGGTTTAATTCGTTTTGGTTTAGTTTCGGCATGTCGATATTTGCAAGGAAAAGGACCATTTCTGCTAAGTTCTCAAACTTATTAGCATAAAGTTTTGAGAAGTATTCCATTATAACGTTCTGAATCTTGTTTTTTTTTCTGTGGTGGTTTCTATTCTCATCCCTGAGTTTATTTCTTTGGGTGTGTTCTCTTCTTTTTCTGATAAGATTTGCTAAGGGTTTGTCAATTTTGTTAATTTTTTCAAAGAATCAACCCTCTGTTGTGTTGATTCTTTCTATGGTGTTTTTATTCTTATTCGTTGAATTCTGATTTAATTTTAATTATTTCTTTCTGTCTACTGGATTGGGGTTTATCTTGCTGCTCTTTTACAAGGAGGTTTAGATGTGTCATTAAATTGTTGGTTTGGCGCCTCTGGGGGAAGATGGGGCTCAGGGTCCTGCTCTAGAAGGTGAAGTATACTCTTAGCATCCCCTTTGGCATGGGGCAGTGAGCATCATAGGAAGGAGACTTGGCCCTTGAGCATGAGGGACTGCATGTGGTTCTGGAATACCCCAGGGCCTTGCCCGTGTCTGGGCGCAGATTCAGCAACAACAACACGGGCAGATCCTGAGCAGCAGGCCCAGGGGGCATGGGTGGGATCCATAGTCTATTCCTGCTATTCTGGCCCCCTCTCTGGGTTGAGGTGTCTCACCTGCCACGTGTGGGCTTCTCTTTTCTTTTGTTCTCCTGCTCTCACAGTTTGGGATGATTTTCATTTAATGATTGTGTAGCTTTAATATATTGGCTATTCTGTCTGTCTGTCTGTCTTTCTTCACCCTTTCTTTTCTCCGTGTTTCTGTTGAGCCTTTGCCATCATTGGCACTGCTCACTGTGGCATCCACAGACCCTAGTGAGAAATGAAACCACTTGCTTTTTCTTTAAAAAATTTAAATACAGGATTGACGTTTATTGGAGTTGGGTGGCAAAAGTAAAGGGAATTAAAGATGAATTTATGTTTTCAATATGAAAAACGTCTCTGTGTGTGTGTGTGTGTTTCTGTGTGTGTGTGTGTGTGTGTGTGTGTGTGTGTGTGTGTGTGTGTATCAGCCCTGGAAGTCAGGGGTCCAAGGTCCCTCTTTTGGCTTTGTAATACACATGTGGCATTTTAGCATTTGACAAATACCTCCTGTTCTATATTTTTACTTGTAAGTTAGAGGTGAAGTCTCATAGATGTTTCTGTACAGGCTAATTTTGAACTGTAATCCTCAGATCTAAGCCTTTTAAGAGAGCCACTGGTGTCTGGCTCGCAAAAAATTACGTGTCTAATATAGAAATTCAAAATGAATTTAATAATAGATTTCCACAAGAATGTGAAAATTTAATACACATTACCTAAGGTTTTAGTCCATATTTTAAGAGTAACACATTTTCTTTTTTGAGATTATGTAATTACATAAATTTCACACTATTGTGGCATAATGATACTTAGCTAAAGTCACTAACACATTTTAACCTTCCCAATGCATCTTGTCATCGTCTTGTTCTACAAAGCTTATGAATTCTACAGACTTTAACAATAAATCTGTTTCTTCCAAATTGGGTGATATGTACATTTCTTTCCTTTTGCTCAGTATCAGCTGTTTCCTCTTTCTCTCTCATTCCCTCCCTCCCATAATCACTGTTGAGTTGCTTAGTTCACTTTCATCAATGACCAGTGCCGCTGATGGGCCCTCTGCTGTATTTTTTTCACCCATTTTCCTCCACTTCTTTGCCCTCCTCCTGGCTTCCCTCAGATGTGCATGCCTATTCAGCTTATATGCGGTCAAGAACACAGAGTGATTTAGAAATTATATGAAAAGTAAGAACAGGTCCTTTATTTCTTGGGTCTTGTTTACTTGTCTACTTTGTTTACTTGTTTATGTTTATGACATGTAATTTAGTCCAATCTAATAGAGATTGAACATCACTGGATCTTAAAAAATAAGCAGAAAATGAAGCAATGGAAGAAAGGACACACTACCTTTTACCAGCATATCTAACGAGATTTCCTCCAAAAATCGAGTGTGGCTATTCGTCTCTTTTCTCTTCTTCCATTTCTGTTTGGAAGTCTTTAGTGATTTGGTCCAATAAGATGCAGAAGTTGGCTAACTGTGAGCTCTGAAGATTGATTTTCCTAAGGTTAATGATGAGTCCATCCTTTCCCACCTTCACTTGAGCATCTCCTGGACAGCTGCAGTCCTCTGGAACAGAGGCTGGCACTAGCCCGCTCCTGGTCTGTCAGTCCTGAGGATGGAGGCTGAGCTTTCCCTATGCACCAGGCTTGAAGAGATCCTTGGTTCTTTACTCCTTGGTTGTGTCTAAAGACAGAAGCATCTCTACCCAGTAAGTACTGATGTATTTGATACATGAAGAGTCTTGGAAATACCACCACTTCCTCAAAAATATCAACATAACGGTTTTGGGTAGCCAGATTGTAGGACAGCGCAGTAAAATTTATTTCACCACTTGTGTGAATGCTTCAGTTCCCTATGTTTTATACTTTCTTATAGTTATGTTTTGTTACCAGAATGGGTAACCAAAATTTTTTTTTCTTTCTACCCATACAGTACTGGCTCTGATCCTGTTAAGTTCTTCCCCAAACTACAATACCTGTATTATTCTAAACTCTTTCTGAGTACTGCAGAGGGACTATC